GCCCCCCCCGCCGGCGGCCGCTCAGCGGTGTTTACGTGCTGGGGAAAACGCTCCTCTCCCGCTCTCCGAGCGGGCGGGATTAAATTGCAGCCCTGCAGCTGGCGCGGCGGGACGGCTCCCCGGTGAGGCGGCCCTGGTTGCAGCTGGAGTCCCCGAGGGCACCGGTGTGGGGGGCACTCCGGGACGGCGCCCGCCTCGCAGGGCCCTCGGGACGCAGACAGGCAGGGGGGGGCCCGGCTCCTTCGCCGCCCTTGCCGCTTCCCTTGGGCTCCCCTCTGCACGGGATGTTCCTGGGTGGGTTTCCCCAGCTGCTGTGTCCCCAAAACTCCCAGGAGCCCAGTCACAGCGTCACTGAAACACGGGATACGCTTCCATACGCGATCCCTCTGTCTCGGAAGAGACAGCGTGTAACCGGTGCCCTTAGGCTCCCAACCGGCATCGTTGCTGTCTCAGGCTTCCACCCGGACACTGCTTTGCGATTCAGTGACCGTTTGGACGGGGCTGGCTTGTCCTGGCAGGGTGGTGCTGCGCCAGGCCCGGTCACATCGCTCCGGCGGCCCCGCGTCTCCCCGTGCTGCCGCGGGGCCCTGTCCCCTTCCAGCAGCCCTGGGCAGGTGCCCCCGTTGCGAAAGTTCAGGAAAAGTGTCTGGATCTCCCGAAGGGATTTCCAGACAAGCAGCTAACTTGTGCTGGGCTCCCGGGGGTAATCTAGAGAAGGCAGCAGATAAGGAAGGTTTTGTACAAGTTTGTTGCTTACTAGAGGAGTTTGATGAAGAGATAGAAAACCAGATTTGACTCTCCTTTCTCTATCTACAATCTGTTTCCATTATGAATATTCAGTGCTTGCTGGTTTTTTTGTTTGTTTGTTTGTTTTGTTTTGTTTTTTCATTTGGAGATAAGACCACTGGGTTAAATGGTGTATCTAAACCTAAGAATGACAAATGTTTGTAAAATATTTAGGTTTTTAGCTGCAGTTGAAAGAGACACAGGTGATGGTTGCATTACTTATTATTTGTGCTCTATGACTGAACTGGTCTTGAAGGAACCATTGCCAGCACATTCCAAATCAGCAAATCCATTGTGTGCACTGAATCTGTAACCTGTTTGGCCTTAAAATGGTCCAGGGTGAGTGTTTAGGGAACAGAGTGACACAGGTCTTGAACAAATACTTAATCATATGGCACCCCATCTGCTGTGTGGGCCAGGCTCCTGCTTTCTGGAATTAGTGTGGAGAGCAAGGTAGGAGCCCTGGAGATCAGGGAGAGATTCTTCAAAATGTGGTGATTTTTTTTTAATAGCATTTCTGAGTTATTTGTCTGCTGACTTCTCTAGTGGGCATATTAACCAATGAAAGCAGAAAAAGAATGAGGCTTTTGCAATCCTTTTATCTCACCTGTCACTTGAGGTGTTTACACAAAAAGGAGCCTGCCCTGTCAGAAGCTGCATTTTTCACATACCTGCCCTGCAGCTATTTCTGATTAGAAAGCCAAATTCAACTTCACGGGGCTTCTTACAGCCAAGCTGACAGAAGCTTTTCCTAGTGTCTCTTATTCCTCAAACCTAATCACTTCTTCTTGGACCACCAAAAAATAAAAAGGGAGGTGAAAGCAGCTAATGGAAGTAGAGCAGAATGAAAGTGTGCAGAGCTCTGCTTATTTATGCATCCTCTCAGGAAACGCACTTGGAAAACACAATTGCATAACAATAGTGTTTTGCTTACAGGCAACCAAAACTACATAAATGGGTGAAACGGCTCTGCGTGAAGCTCTGTGCTAGGGCACAGCACAGTGTTATTAAATGTGCTGTGCTGATGTTTTGCACTGGCACTTGTTCTGTATTTCTCATATCTGAGAAATCTGCAACACTCGGCCTTGCAGTATGTGCTTTACATCACGAACAATAACATTGAAAGGTTTGTCTGTAGATCAGGATGTTATTGGGAACAGATCTGCAGTTCTGCTTTGTATTTCTTTCTAGTCAGATATTTCAGATGTGCAGGTCGTGCTTGGAGAGGCCCGAGCTCGTTCCTGGGTTAGGAGGGACAAGGTACGGTGGTATTTAGCTTGTCCTTTCAGTTGCTCGGAGCCACAGACCCCTGTGTCCTTGCAGAGAGGAACATTCCTCCTCCAGCAGCAGGGATGGCCCTTGAGAAGGGAACAGGGAAGGAGCAGGAGTTGTTAGATCCCATGCACAGTTCCTGAACACTGTTGCTCCTCACAGACAGCTGTTTTGTTGCTGTTGGATAGCTCGAGCTTAACCCCCTTGGTTGTCTCTATTAAGCTCAATCAAATTACTGCTCTGCTGAATTGGGCAGGCCTAAGTAATCTTGCTTTGCCAAATTTTGGTTAACACACGATGTCGAGTAAGAGCCGTATGCTCTGGTAGTCAACAAAAACGGATGAATCCTTGAATGAAGAATCCCTGACTTATTCCCAAAGCTTTAGATGTTAACCAGGATGTTAGTAGCTTGCACTGGAGCAGGCCACGAGCCGAACGCAAACTCCCAGTACCGAAATTTCTCCTTTCCTGTGATAGGAGCTGAAACCTGTGTGTGCGGCCTGTGACACCGCGAACACACAATGGGAAATTCCAGGAGGCTTCCTGCTCCAAGAGGCGTCACTGCAGAAACAGTCGTGAAGCTCCGGCTTCCTGTTCTGAGCCCTCCGGAGCAGTTTGCTATGTTTCATGCCCGGCATCCTGTTCAGTGTCTTGGCAATGCTTGTCCCCAACGCGCTGCCCAGGCATCTTTATTTTTAGTGTTTTATTCCTTTTTAACAGTTGATTCTTCATTCCTGATATCTTCATGCTCTTTTATGCGTTGCTAGCATGGAGAGGGAAAAACAATCTTGCCTCTGGCATATCCAATTTCTTTTTAAAACTCCCTTTAGTGTCTGTCTTTCTGAAAAGTATTAGTGCCTTATTTACTGTGGAATTTGTTTCAATAAATCCTCTAAAACTGACCTCTGTACTGTTAAATTGTACCATTGAGTGCATCAATGCAGCCATGGCACCAGTACATCCATTTGCTGTGAACAAGCTTGTGATGTTAATGATCAAGGCACCAAATACTCAATTTGAGGAGGGGGAAAACATTTTTTTTTTTTAATTTAAAAGCGACTTCCACGGAATTAAGCCTTTCCTGCTCTACCATGTGTGTGTATGTTTTTTTTTTTTTTTTCTCTGCTTAAAATGAAATGGAAGTAGCAGGAATATTATACATTTACATTGACTATATCATTACGTTGACTATTATATATTTTCAGTAAAAATGTTAGGTACTGACTGGAGGGCCTGAGCAGGTGGTGAGGACTGGATTTTGAAGGTGCCGCTTCTGCTGGCTTCAGATCATCTGAGGGGGAAAAAAAAGCACTTCATGTAAAGATGGAAATTGAGAATTTCTGTGTGTGATGTTGCTTCTTACCTTTGTTAGGTTTTGTTTTAACTCCGAGAGTGTTCATCAGCTGCAAGGTCTGATGTTGCTAACCCAGGAAACCACCTTCTCTGCTGTGGGGTTGCAGGCAGTCGCTCCGTGGTGACCAGGTCTTTGGGCTTTTCTGGGAATTCTGGAGTGCTGGCATTGCCCAGGCAGAACGGTGCCCAGGGCCATGCGAGTGGAACTGCTCTGTAACCGATTGTAAGAATAAAAAGGGGGAAGGCAAACAAAAGGCATCAAGGAAAAATACTGAATACAGACAGCTTTTGTTTACTAGGAAACTTGTGACCTGGTGTTATTCTGGCAGCCTGAGTGGAGCTGGCACTTATTAGCGAACTGCTGGCATGGGCAGATCTGCAGTAACCCCACTTTGCTGGTAGAGCTGTGCGGGTGCCGGGGACGTGCGGGACCGGCCTCCGCGTTGCAGCAAAGCTCATCTGCTCCTGCCCAGTCTGCACAGGTGGGAGCCAAAATGCATCTCCTCCTGCTGCAGCTGGCTTAGCTGGAAGCGTTCGCTGGCGGGCAGAGCATCTCCATACCCTGAGGTGTTTGTCTTTCCTAAATATGTATACGTTATCCTATATACTAAACAAAGTTTTAAAATAATTGCACGGTGGTGCGCTGGCCTGTAATACCATATCTACTGCTGCTTCATTGCTGTGACTCCGATAATTCATTTGTAGGAAGAACTTTATATGGGTTTTTTGTTCCCCCTTTGAAAGGTGGTGAGCAATCATCACACTCACCAGACAGTGTTAGCATTCTCTGTGCTTCTCTCTATACAAACAGAGATTTCCTGACGTTACTGTGGAAGATTGCAGGGGGAAATATGAGTTACCTTCCTTCTGGAAAAGTACGTAAAATTCAGAAAGCTTTGGGAAAACACTGGGTGTTTGGTATGTGCTGGTGAGAACTTGTAGCGCTCTGCGCTGCATTCGCAGCGCTCACTGCTCCCTGAAGAGCAGCTGCTGGGAACCTGCCGTCTGTTGCAGCACGCTGCTTTCCCAAAGCTGCTCTGAGCTGTGGCCAGGAGGCACAACCAAGAGCCTCCCGTGTCTTTTCAAAGCTGGGAGAAAAGCCTGAGTCCCGGCGGAGGCCGCGGCTCTGGGCAGGATGCAACGACCCGGCTGCTGGTGCTCGAGGTGCTTCCCCTCGGCCTCGAAGCTCTGTGCTGGAGGCATCTCAGGACCATATGTGAATGCTGTGGATTTGATGGCAGCTGCTCCTTTGAGGTGAAACAGAGAATGAAGTCTTATTGTAGAAGAGAAACAAAGTGAACAAGAAGAGAAATAAGTTCTGGAAAGAACTTAAGAACAAACTTAAGAAGGAACTAAGTTCTGTTCTCTACCTCATAGCAAATCTTGGCTGTGCAAAGTGTCAGCTGCTTTCTCCTTCTGTATGTAACTCACTTGGCCCACAGGTACATGTATCCTCAAACTTTGCAAGCCTTCACCTGGATCGTTTTAACAATGCCATGTGTGTGCAGCAGAGTCCTTCAAGCAAGCTGGGGTGTAGATTGAAATGTGTTTGCTATTCACTGAAATGTTGAACTTGCCGCTCATACCTGTGCTGAAGATTTCAGGAGGTGGCGGGTATTCCACCCAGAAGCAGCTGGAGGGTATGAACTCCATGCACCAGCCACTGGTGATCTGACTGCAGCTGGAGGTGAAGCTACAGTGGCTCATCTCCACTGTTATAACATGTTTTCTACTATTATTTTTATTGTGGTCGAAGCACGCCCTTTCTGTTAGCAAAGCAATAGCCTGTAGCAAAGAAATTCTGAAACCATTTACTCGTAGGCTGCATGGGCTGAGGCTTGGCAATTAGTGGTGCCTGTGCCACAGAAATGGGGCTGACACCTTCCTTCCAAGGCTCCCCTGGGAGAAGGTAACCGCACACAACACACCCCTGCAGCTCCCCCTTCTCCCCAGCACCCTGTTTTCCCACTTAGAAAGCAGCTGTGGTGGTTCTTCTGCTTCGTGGAATTCCAGCAGTGCTTGCTCCGGGCTGACAGCAGGGCGTCGAGGGCTTCTGTGCGGCTCCTTGTAAAGCCCTTTCCTTGCAGAAACGGTTTGGAGTTGGTGGCTGCCGTGGGCTTCTGCTTTTGCTCTGGTTGCCATAGGTACTGTGGCTGCTTCCAGGTCCTCGAGCAGAGCGAGACCATGGCGCTGCGTGCAGGAGGCTCCTGCTCGTCTTTAATTGCGTGTTTTGTTAACTCTTTGGGCCTGTGCTTGAGAGGACGGCATTAGAACTTGGAAACATCTAAGCGCAGAGGAAGTTGCTGCTGTTGTGGAGCTCAGTTTACACAGGCTTGTGTAAAAAGCACTTCCCTGGGTTGTTGTACTAGCCCTAAGGGCTTATAAGTAATACAGAAATATGTCCTGCTCCGAACTGACGTTGAACTCAACGGTTAGTGTGGTGCATATATATATACCTATATATTTATATTTTTAGGCTTTCATTTTATCTTCTGTCAGCCTGTCAGAAGTAACTGCACAATGGTGGTGTTGTGGACTGTGTAACAAAATACAATCCCAATATGCATCCGTTTCTTTTAGATTTGCAACAGAATGGAGAGGGAGGGAGAAGCAGGAAGGAAATGCATAGGAAGCAGAGCTGAATGAGGCCTATCGGTACTGGGGAATCTCTCAATTTCCTTTTTCAGGAACTGAGTGGCAACTGGAAAAAGAGGAAGGATGTGAGTTACTAACTGGTAACTCTTGTTACAGGCTTCCTGTAATTAGAGGTTTAAAAGGGCCTTGTAAGTTATGGCCTTCTCTCTCTGGCTTTTGCTTAAGGTTCCTTTAAGGGACCCAATTGAGTGAGTCAGGGTTTGGAAAGCAGAGGTCTTCACAGTTTAAAACCAAAGCATTGGGCCCCGGTCTAATGCTGAGCTGGAAAAGCTAGCCTAGCTTTCCAGTAAAACAAAGAAATTATGAAACTTAGGCTCTTAGCATCCATTGAAATGTATAGTTATTTCTCTTAATATATTTGTATCTATGCTTGGAGCTGGATCATGCTTTAACTAAAGTTTCTAACTTCCAGCAGTATCAGCTACACATCTGACCTTTTTCGTGTGCCTTTTATTTTCCTTTCCACGGCTAGAAAGGACAAAAGGAAGTAGGAGTCTCTGGCTTTCCCGTGCCTTTCTCCCATGTCTGTTCTCCCATGACGTGGTCCGACTGCAGCTAGCCCCGAAGGGTTGCACACACGTTGCTGTGGTTTTTGAGGTACTGCCTCATTAGAGCAGGCCACGGCTGCTGCAGGATGCACAGCCCAGAACAAGCTCCTGTGAGCAGCCCTGCTGACACAAAGTTCCTGTTTGCTGCCAGAGGAGGTTCTTGTCCAGGGCTGCGCAGCAATGACGGGGCTGCCTTTCAGAAACAGTGTGAAAATGCATTTAAGCTGTTTGTCACCAGGAGCTGTAAATATTCTAAAAACCAGCAGCCTTCCCTTCCCCGCTCCTGCACACACAAAACCAAGTTCTGTCTGCTTGACTCAGGAGCCAGTTGCTTCCACCATTTCTTGTTAGGCAGCCAAGCAGTTTTATGTAGGGCTTCTGAAATGTTTCCTAGCCAAATTGGTTCTTGCCTCTGACTTGCTGCAGGTGCCTTCATGTTTTTATTTGCTTTGGTTGCATAACTTGGTATTTTGTGGATATCTAACATTCCTTGAACAGTAACACAATCCCTTTTGTGGAGATTGGTGCTTATGCATCATTGTACTCATAGAAAATGCCTGGCATGTGTGCTATGCACTGTAATTGTTAGTGACTAGAATGGGAATATAGTGAATATAAAAGTACTATTTCCTAGTAATTCTGATTTTAAGTTGAATAGGGCTTATTTGTTTGTAGGTTCAAAAGCACTTTTGCAAGTAGTTCCCATACAGCACATAGTTTGCATAAGGATGAGTGATTTGTGTAGCATTGTTGTCTCCTGGACGTTTCAGTTTTAACTGAATCTCAAGTCTTGGTCTTTTCTTAGCTTATTCTCCAGTAGCACAACTTTGTATCTTTCTCTTTGGTGATTATATTGAGCAAATTGGCATCCTGGTAACCTTTTCTGTGGCTTGCGTGTACCACAATGTCATGGTGACTTAACTGACTGGCGTTCATCTCTGTGGTGACACAGTTAACTGCACGTGAGAAGCTGTGTACAGTGAGTGAAAACAAAACCCTTGCATTCAGCATTCAGGTACCTGTTAGGATTGAAGGTCCCCATCAGAGAGCACAGGAGAAAGTGAAGGTGCTGCCTGGGACTGAAGTCCTAGTGAGGAAATAGTTTGGAAACACGATTCATACGCTCCCTTCTCCCCCCGCTCTTGAGAAAGCGCACATCCAACTGGAGATCTTACTAAAGACTTGTATAAATAAACATTAAACATATGGTTTATTTTACCAGTTTACTAATAAAGTTAGAATTACTGATTGTAATGATTTCTAGTGCTGAGTTAGTCACCAATCATAAAAATTGAGGCTGTAGCTGAACTTAAACTAATGCAGTCTATTCTGCTTTCCTTTTTCTTGCCCTCAGAGGTGTCTCACCACTTCTTGCAGCATCACTGATCCATGCTGCAGTAGATGAAGTTCTCCGGATAGACTTCACTGAATTTAAGAAGCCGAGTGCAGAAACGGAGGAGGAAGGCGATGAGGAAAGGTTCACCTGTAAGTATATTTTTTCCTTTTGTGGTTTTCCCAGAGGCTGTTCGTTGGAAGATTTCTGTTTTGATTTTTTTTTCCCAGAATATTTGGTTAGGATGTCTGGCAAGCAGTAGTGAACAGAACTTGATTTGCTCCTGCTGCCTACATATGAGGTGAAGGGTAGCTATGGTGTTTTTTCTGGAAGAAAGTTTCTCTTCTCCCCACAAATGATTAATGACAGAGCGTGTCTACTTCTTGAACTGAACTGCTTAGGAAACTCTTTTTCATTGGAAGAATTCACTTAAATTGAACTGATTCAGCTCCTATCTTGATAAGCTCTTCTATTTTTTGAAGTGTCTTCTCTCTGGTGGACTGACCTTGGGTAATTATTCCTATACTACAGTGTTGGCTTCACCAGAATTGCAATTGTGCAGCCACAGGTAAACCTTAAATTCACTTGCATGATGCATCTCGCTTTTGGCTGTTCTTGGCAATCAGTTTTTAAGACCTACTGCCAGCCCAGAACTTGAAACTCCAAGCCTTTTTTTTGACAAGCTGGTCAACAGCATCTGTCTTTACTGAGTCCTTTTACCCCTGCTCTTCCTGCACTATTCCCCTCCTCAAAACCTTCCCCCCCAAAAAATGGGATGAAGAGAGGTGAAAAACTTGAAGCATACATATTTTTTTTTTCCTCCTGAAAATATATCTGGGTTTTTTTCCTATCTGGGAACTGCCCCAGAAAAACTTGAAGCATACATATTTTTTTCCCTCTGAAAATATATCTGTGTTTTTTCCTATCTGCCCGAACTGGGGAGGAAACAGGCCTTAGTGAGTGAGTACTGGATTTCTGGGTTTGAGCTTTGCGTAACAGATGGTCCTATTGCATTTACATGCTAAAGTACTTAGCGTTAGACTTCACCAAGCCTTGCCTCCCTATGCTAAGAATGTAAGTAGAGCAAGAAGCAGACAGAATTTGAAGATAAAAATGGAAAAGAGAAATATCTGATGCAGACTAGCCAGCCCATCAACAGGGAATAGTCACCATTCCCTTCTCCCAGGACGGCCTCAAAGGCAGTTCCTGTGTCCCTGCAGAAAGGGCTGCTTATCTCCAAGCAGAGCTCTGGCTCTGGCCAGGATGCTTCACTTTCCAGAAGCCCATTTTGGTATTTACCTACTCCAAACAGGGCAAGGGGGAAGACATTCGATCAAATCTTGCTGATTATTTATTCCCGTGCCTTAACGTTTGTAGCCTTAACGTGTCCAGAGAGATTTATCACACTTCCAGCACACTGTATGGAAAGAGCTGGCTCTGCATCAGTGTGACAGGGGTCTAAATAACAAGCCCCATCCGCCCTCCTCCACAGCACAGGAATGTGATCTTGGGATGGGCTCTAACGGAGGAGGGAAGCGCGGGGAAGCCGGAGGCCGAAGGCCTTGCGCCCTCTGCCGCCGCGCTCCCGGAGAGCCCGCTCCGGAAGAGCCGCTCCCGGGAAAAGCAGCCCTGGGAGACCCTCGGGGATGGCTCTGCGGATCGCTCTGATTTCCACCTCCTTAGTGAGCGTCCTGCTGTACGTGTTGTTCCGTGAGGGATCACGTGGGCCTCAATGCACCGAGCTTCCTCGGAGCGATGGCTGCTGCCCGGAAGGGCAAGGGGCTGCCAAAAGAGGAGCTTTTGGCCAGGCCGACAGCAAAGAGGAGATACAGGTGGCAGGAGGACATGTAGCTACTCATCCTCTGTAAGCGGAGGTTCTATTTTATGCCCATGAGACAAAGAAAGGCTTTCCATTGTCAACAGTAATCTATTTAAGGACATTTGCATGTAGGATGACTTATTTAAGTTATATCTCACCTTGTCACATCTGCAATGTTAAGCAAACCAAAAAGGGATTTTTTGGATAGTCAATACTGACTGCTTATCAAAGCTTTGTGTTTAGATTTAGGCTTTCCTCATTCTCCAGGCCCAAAGATGTATGTGAAGCTGGTGACCAAGTGTTGCTGAGACAGGAAAATACTTGAGGACCTGGAGGTATAAAGAAAATTCTGGAAAAACAAAAGAAACAAACAAAAAATCAACAAAAAACCCACCTTAATGCTTACGGTGTTAGGAGTCAGGATAAAATAGAGGTAGTATACGACAGAGGTTGGTAGAGTCAGGATAAAATGCTTATTCACAGAGAGATGGATCAGAAAACAGTTTGTGCCACTATAGTCATTTAGGAAACTCTTTAGGGTTTGGCAAGTCTTTTTTCTGTATAGATGATCTTTTCGATGTTTTCTGAAGTTAGATGATTTAGCTTTGGGCCAGGGTTCTGACTCAGATAACAATTTAAGTCATCACCCATTCTGAGGGAGGCTGCATTGCAAAGCTAGACACAATCCTGAATGCTGCCACATCCAGTCTGATGAGCAATAACTTTGGATTAATTGATTTTTGGGAGCTATCCAGAAAAGGATTTGAGTGTCTGGCTGGAGCTTTTCACACTATACTCAATGGGTGTTTACAGTTCTGCTCTGGAATGACAAAGCAGGAGAGTGGCAGAGAAGTTCTTCTGTCTGTCCCGCTTTTACAACTCTGGGTGTTCAGAAAGATGAAGACAATAGCTTAAAATACTAATATTCTGTTCAGTTCAACTATGACTTGAGCTGTCAACCTCAGTAAAATATATTCTCATATTTTCTTGTTGCTTCAGTGGAAGTGGTATGGTCATACATAACCCTAAGCCAAGCTAATACCTTTCAGCCCTTCTGTCCGAGATAACAGCAACTCTTAGCCAGTGTGAAGGTACTTCCTGATACTTGGTTATTTCTGTATTTTTGGGTTGCACTCGACCCTTTGTCCTGTGCTTTTTACTTGCATAATAATAAATTTTATATTCAATGTGCTGGACTGGCTTTTGGACCTTGATGTGATTGTATGCAATCCATAGTCATAAAACTACCAACCATTTGAAAGGAATTATTTTTGAAAGATAAGTGCTAAATAAAATACAAGATCTTCTTTTCCTTAATATTATACTGCTATGCATTAATGCTGCTTTTTCCTCTGCATTATTTTCAATCTACCATAATTCTTGCCAGGTTTGTAGAGGCAGATTCCTGCATGTATGTATGTAGCTTTAAGGAAAGGAATTTGAATAAAGGACAAATTCCATGTTAAGGGAGAAAAATTTAGCACGTGAATTATTGTTTCTCTTTGTGCTGCCAGTGCTGGATGGAGACTCTTTGCAGCGCTGCTTCTTTAACAAGCTTCGGGATGTCTGCTTGCAATGGCAGAAGCAGCTGCCACCACTGAAGCCACAGAAGCGTTTTCTGCTCGTGTCCATCCACGCCATCCGTAACACCCGTCGGAAGATGGAGGATCGCCACGTCTTGCTCCCCGAGTTCAATCAGCTCTTTGGTTTAGCAGTAAGTTGGGGCAAAACTGGGGAGGTCAATTTTTTAGCTTTTCAACAGCTAGGAATTTGTTGCCAAGTGTTTATCATGTCTGTGCTGGAGCAAGGGCTTAGCTCATAACAAACTGGGTCAGAAACTACTGCCCTGGCAAAGAAGAATCTTGGCCCGCAGGTCTCCATGTCAGAAGTGATGTAGTTCACCTAATGCTGCACTGCTGTAGTTGTAATGTTCTTGTGACTGAAGTAACGGATAAAAAGTGGAAAATAGCAGTTAAACCAGGACAAGTACCAATTAATGAAGATACTAGATTTTTAGATATCTGCCACTTCAATTCCTAAATTTTTTTTTCCTCCCCTTTTCAAAGATACTAAGTGGTCAGCAGCAAAGACAAGTAATTCTACTGCAGATTATGCATTCTGCTCCTTTTGCACACAGGCCAACTGATTTTAATTGCCATAACCAATGCAATGTCTTAAGGAAGAAAGACTAAAACAGAGAAATCTTTGCTACCAGGAAGTATTTTCTTTTTGACTTTTTGCACATCTTTCTCCCTCCCTACAAAAGGATGACATTGATCGTGCTTACTTTGCCGTATTTGATGGCCATGGTGGAGTGGATGCTGCCAATTATTCAGCAACCCATTTACATGTAAATGTTGGGCTACACGAAGAGATTGTTAAGAATCCAGCTGAGGCCTTGAAATGCTCTTTTCAGAAGACAGATGAAATGTTTCTTTTCAAAGCCAAAAGAGAGGTGAGTGGGTAGAGATGAATTCCATTATATTTAAAGGGTAGTGAGAACTGTTGGGCAAAATGCTATTATCTAGAAAACGTTGGCAGAGAGCTTTTTTTGAATCTCTAATTTCTTTATGAAATTATCTTCATGAGAAAGCTTTCATTGATTTTTTTTTTTTTTTGAGGGGAAGGAAAAACAAGATGTCAGTGCTTACAAGTTCATGAAATGAATGTTTGAAATGAAGAGCAGTTTGAACGATCCTGACAATTCAGTTGTTTGAAAGAACACTCTGATGCCTCTTTGTCTAAATTAGGCAGTTTCTAAATATTCTCTTGTCCTATCTCTAACCTGGAAAAGAGAATTCCCGTTTCTAAGTAATGTGGTTGTAATCCCTTTTTTTGTGTGTGTCCTAATATTACTGTCAGGAGTGTTAGGAAGTTTAAAAAGTATTCACAATCATGTCATAATTTAAATCATCAAAATAGTTTACACTTAAATCATAAGATGATTTAAATCAGACTCTTCATCAAGCTTATTGATCATCTTTGACTCAAGCTGGTACAACTCAAATGAATATGCTTTCTTCAAACCTTCACGGTGGAAGGATGATTTATTATAATACACTGTTTGTATAAAAGAGCTCTTGTTACAGCAATAACCGAATACAAGTGTATTCACTGCTAATGTCTTCATTTCTGTCAATGAGGCAGAAGAGAAGGGTCAGTATCTCCATTAGGTCTGACTCTTCCTAATCTTTATGAGGAATCAAAGATGATTATATTCCTTCTTTTTACTTGTCCTCATTTAAATGCCCAAAGATAAGGGGATGAGAGATTGCATTAAAAAAAAAAAAAAAAAGGAAGAGGTGAGAATGCTAAAGGAATTGAGAAAACTGACATTCATGTTTGTAATCCTGAAATTCAGATCCTCTTCCCTTTCTGTGGTGGGTTTTTTTTTTGTTTGTTTGTTTGTTTTTGTATTTTCAGCAATAAAGGTTGTCTTAGATCAGTTTTGGAATTAATAGCAGAGACAGGAGAACCTAACTGAGGCAATATCCCCTATCCAGAGGCTAGAATATGTAAACAGTTTATTTTAAATCTGCCTAATCACCTGTACATGTTTTCAGCTACCTGAATTATGATTTTCAGGTATACTGTACTGCATTTAGGTTAGATTTAAATTTATAATACTGCCATGCCACCTGGAGGGGCTTGTTGAATATTCACCTGACTACCTGTTTTCTACCACAGAGGCTGCGGAGTGGTACCACAGGGGTATCTGCCTTGATTGTAGGCAACAAGTTGCATATAGCCTGGCTGGGGGACTCGCAGGTAATGCTGGTGCGGCAGGGAAAAGCTGTGACCTTGATGGAACCTCACAAACCAGAAAGAGAAGTAAGCCTGACTCTATTGCTGGGGTGGAGGGTTTGTTGAAACCTATCTGCAAATTAAGGCCTGGGAAGCCTTTAGCTTCTTGAGCCTTGCACTCCTCAACTGCTACACTACAGAGAAAGTAAAACTTCTCTTTCAAGGGTCTTTGGAATCAAGATTTTGTATTTCGCACCTTACATAACTTTATCTAGCTTGCAATTCAGAGAATGACATATTTTTCCATCTTATCCTATGCTGGAAAGGTCGTTCCTGTCTTATACCCCCTGAAAATACTGATATTATTGGCAGACCTGACTTCAGTTCCTGCTTGGACTGTCTTTTCAAAACTGGTAGTAGTTTGCAGACTGAGATTTTACTTGTGGAATTTTAAGTGCCATTGTTATAAATGGGCTTCTTAATTTATGGGATTAGTATCTACATAAAATATTTGTGTAATTCGGGTCTTTCACATTATGCTATAATGTCATTTAAAATCTAGTTTTAATATATTAGCATAACTGCCTTAAAGCATCTTGCATTTCTTTCATTTTTGAAACAGCTAGGTGTTCTATCACATGGAATAAGGTGGGGATCCAACAATCTTCAATAGCTTCCATTTGCATCCATGGCATGAATAACTAAAGTAATTAAAGGAATATCATTGCAAATACCCCATTTCAGTGTTAAGTAGTTTAGCTGGCCTGTTTCTTACTCCAAATATTTCTATATTTACCCAATTGCTATATGGGGTAGGAAGAAGTGGCAGGAGAGGTGCTTGTAGATATGTAAATGAACCTGGTGATGTGGAAAGTTAACAATTTTCTGCTGTCTTTATGGACAAGCTGTGATACAGCTGTGAAGTAGGTGTGTTGTTCCTAATAGTCTTAGTAAATGCCCATTTCTGATCTGGAATCTCATATATGTTTGTGGTTGTGGTGTAGAAGCAAAAGCTGTGCATGGTTTTGAGTTTTGTCATCGTTTTCTCCTCAGCTGGGTAAGAACAAGGTCAGTAAGTCACGGGTTGGCTTTTGTCATAAAAACTCTCTTCTGTTCCATTTTAGGATGAGAAAGCCCGTATTGAGGCGCTGGGTGGCTGCGTAACCTACATGGACTGCTGGAGGGTTAATGGTACCTTGGCTGTTTCCAGAGCAATTGGTAAGCTGAACCACACAGTGCAGATTTAACTTGATTAAAATTCACAGCCTGAGCCTTTTGTTTTGGTTTGTTTTTTTTCACTGTAAATGATATTTTGCTCAGTGTGGACCAAGTAGCAAAATTACTGCCTTTGCTGTAAGGCTAGCTGACAACTGCATTGTTTTTACATAGCTTTTACATAATCTAATTACCTTTACTATAAGCATAGAATATTTTTATTTTTACATTATAACCATGAGTCCTAATCATTTTATTCTTCTAAGTCTGTTGCGTCTCATAAATGAGAAATCAGATTGCAGCATCCTCCTTCAAATTATACAAATTCAGTGAAGTATGACATGTTAGTTGTAGTATTTCTCTTACGGAAAGAGCTTGCTTTGCTACTCATCGATTAGGGCAAAAGGAGAAAAGACTCTGAGCAAGAATTGTAATTTGTGAACAGAAATATGTTTGCATAAATCTGTCTACTACCATTTTTGGATCAATAAAATTGTGGATTGATTTGGAATGTGACTTTGAGGTGTCTTTATGAAACTGAACTAAGCATGTGTGGATTCTTGCAGCATTATGCTGTGTATCAGGATAGCTAAGAAAAATCTTCTTTTCGTAGCATTTTGAAGGTTGTATAAGAGGCATGCTTGCCAGTGAAGGCTTGAATATCTCCTTTACGTATGTATTCCAGTGAGGAAAAATAAAATGGAAAAAATATCCTCAATTTCCCTGCAAAGATAGGAAAGCACAAGCTCCTTACAAACCTACTCAATTTTGGTAGCTCACAGAGTTCTCAAAGTAACAAAGACTTTCCAAGTTTATCTGTAGCTTTTAAGTGCTTTTTTTCCTGCATGAAGCATCTCTGGAATATGATCTGGATGTTCTGGATGACAGGAAAAGCAATTGGTTGTTAAGGAAGTAACTGCCTACATTTGAAGCAATAACGTCTTTATCTGGGTTGTTTTAGGTGACCTGTATCAGAAACCCTACGTCTCTGGCGATGCTGATGGAGATTCCTTTGAGCTGAGTGGATCTGAAGATTACTTGCTCCTAGCCTGCGATGGATTCTTTGATGCCATCAAACCATACGAGGTTGTAGACTTGGTCCTAGATCATTTAATGCAAACCAACGGAGTGGGTGTCAAGGCAGCAGAAAGACTAGTGGCTGCTGCAAAGGAAAATGGATCCAGTGATAACATCACTGTCCTGGTGGTGTTCTTGAGGGAGCCTCAGCACATCTTGGCAGACTGCTTCAGAGACCCTAAGAGCCTTGGGGCTGGTGAGGATGCTCGAAGCTCAGCCTTTAACTTCCTCGGCTGTGAGGCAGCAGCTGCACACTGACAGAATCTGCTTAATGCACAACATTGAAATAGGTTAAGTTAAGGAATTGCTTTCCACTGAAGAAGTCTATAATAGGCAAAACAAAATGACAAATGGACAACAGCACCTTTTACTGAGTTCCCACTTGTCTTTTATTCTCCTCCCTTCAAAAACTGCTGAGCAGGCTTGGAGATTTGTGCAGCTATTTTTTCTCTGGGAACAGTTTCTAAAGTGTGTCCTAGGGCTGCTGGTCATATCCTTCTGCCCTGGAAGTGGTAAGAAACTGTAATATGTATAAGCTAACAGTGAGAATGCCAGTTTGTGAGTTCTGAGTGAAGCTTAAATTAGTGCTTACAAAGCAAGCTGTATGTTATTTTTAATTTTGATGTTACTTTGGGGCTTGGGAGGAGAGAAGCAGTACCATCAGAGAGGTTTGTTAGTCTGTGTGGCCTGTAGGAACAGGCTTGGGGTGCCAGAGGACTGGGTAAACAGAAGTAGAAGCCCATGTGTTCTGTTAGTTATTTTTGTTTTATACCAAAGATGATATTAAGAGAATGTTGTGACCACTTTCTTCAAAGAGGTTAAATTCTGTGTATATGAGGAGGAGAAAATGAAGGTGAATGCTCCAGGAAAAAGAGCAAGAAAGCTATTCAGAAATATCCCCAGCAAAAACATCTGCTCTCTAGGATGCTTCAGGTTATAAACTGGAATACAATATTTAACTGCACTGGATTGTTTTTCCCTAGCAAACTTGCTTTCTTGGTTATCTGGCAACCTGGAAAGAAAGGATGCATATTGATATGTTTGAAAGAGGTCCTTTACAGGATATGTATGCTCCGCCAGTGACATATATCTGATTCTGCCATATTTTTTGTACTATAACGAGTGAATATTTTATTTTTATTTTAAGGGTTTATGTGTTTATTTACTGAACTTTACAGTTGGAGAATTTTTTGCAGTGTTACTTTATTTTGTTGTTTTTTAATTTAGATTTGTTTAAGTGGCTATGTCTCTATTATCTGTTTTTAAAAACTGACTACCCTCAAGTGCCTTAAATATTTCACCCAAGGATAGAGATTGCTGGTTTCCTAGCATATTCTGGTGAGCCACTTTATCATGTTTTTAAAATATGACTTTTTTCATTTCATTAATATTAACATTTAATGCACTTAACCGTTTCATTTTGTGAATGATTTGGTGGGAACTGGGTTTCAGGAAAACATCTCATTCAGTGCTGCCAAATCCTGTGGCTCATAGTAAAAACTTTACAATACTTACTGTGATTTATTTCCCTACCACTTCCATGCAAAAATCTCTAGATAGTTAATCATAAATTAACTAGCTGATTCATAATGACTTTCATTTAAAATCAATTATTCTTCTGACCTTCATAAGAAAATTTAAGAACACAAACTAAATCTGTCTAGTAGTAGAATTCTTTAATTACTTATTCTATTACTTGATCTTAATAGATTAAACATCTAAAATTAAAAATTTTATCTAAAATTAAAAATTTTAATAGATGCTTCATGTTAGCCATTTGCCATCAACTTTTGTGGCCCAGAAAACTTGAGGAGATGTGAAGCTAAGGAAAGGATGAAAGAAACTTAATGAACCTATATGGTGTTGTGTGAAGTGTTAGATGTGTTTCCTGTGTGAGCCGCGGGTTGTTCTATCCTGCCTCGCTGCCTGTCTGTCAGGAAATGCAACAAGATCTCGGTGCTCAGAGGTATTAGCACTTTCTGCACCTGAGCAAGAAGTGCTTTACGCCTCGTAGGAAGAGGAGAAGCTTTGCAAAGAGCAGCTTTGCAGTATGTCACTCCTGGTGATGAAAATGTGTTGGAAATTCATGTTGTTCAGGAAGAAGTTTAGCTAGAAGGGATGACTGGGCAGTGGCGGAACATGGCGGTGCTGTTGGTGTCCGCGTGGCCTCCGAGGCAGCAGCTGGGGGTGACGCAGTTACCTGAGTGACTTGGGCCTCTCTCCTCGTTGCTCTGGGCGATGGGGCAGCCCAACGCAGTGACTCGGGGTGTCCCACAAGCTGCCACGGCCCTGCGCAGCGCCTCGAACAGACTTGCTGCAGAAATACAGAAACTTTTCCCCTGGGAATGTGGTAACCACTCTTTCATGGTATCTTTTGTGGGGAAAAGTGTCTGTGACACCAGCCTGGGGATGGTGGTTAAAATTTTGTTCTGAATCTACTTCAGCTAAGGAAGCCTTCAGCCTGGCCCAGCAAACCCCTTGGGCCTCCTGCCTCGCGTCCCTGCGGTGTCTAACTCGGATACTCGGTGTCAGGCCGAATTGTGATGACCACTAGTGCCTTTTGGGGTCTTGGAAAGGGAGGTCTCGTTACTATACCATTACTATAATGGTAAGACTCGCACAGACTTGTCTGACTTCACTGCCCTGAAGTTTATTGTTATTAGGGGGTGAGGGAGAAGCTACAGTATTTGTGGAGAAGAGCTATGAAATGTTGGTAAGCTCATGGTATGGTCTGGTTTCTGAAATTTTTCCAATTTTTTGCCATGTGGATGGAACCAGAGAGGCCAAACTCTCTGCAATGATCCTTCTATTCAGCCTGTTTAGGCAGATGGTGAAAATCCAAGTCTTATAATGTGTACTTAGAGCCATGTGAGAATATCTCATCAAATTTTAGTTTAATAAGATGGGGGGAGAGCTGTGTGTGAAACGTGCATTTAGAAAGCTGTCCGTGGACAAAAACAGATAATTCTTGAACTGCGTTTTGAGAATCTCTTCCATCATAGAGAGGTTTTCATTCCAATGATTTGGTGCATCCTTCTGAGTTCTAAAGGGGTAGGAATAGTTTTTGGGAACTAACAGAAATTTTGTGGGGAGGAGAAAAGGTGTTTCTCTAATTTTCAGAGGATTCTCACTAGCTTTAAAAATTCCAGTCGGATCTGTAGGAGGTTTAACATGGTCAAGAAATGGCAGTTTGTATCCTGTCTGGGCTAAATAAGACAAAAGAGATTCCCTAGAGTACAACTTGATTTCACATACTATTTGAGTATAACAAAGGATGCAACTATGGATTTTGGAAGAGTGTTTAAAATTCTACTGAAAATGGCCATAAAAGTGGTCTTCTCCTTGGGATGGATAATGACCCTTGACTCTTCTTTCACTTACGACTTTGATACCACTTTTAGAAGTTGGCAGTATAATGTGAAATGCTCTTACAGCCATGGTCACCACTATGGTGGTGGGAGAGAGCTAGGAGCTCTGGCAGATTGCAGAGTTGAAGGAAATTGTCCAAAAAAGGTGCTATGTTTTTATTTACAGTACTAATCTGCTGCATTAGTGTTCCCGCTCCTTCCTCTTCAAACTCCTTGGGGTTCAAGTGTGGTGTCTTCTGTTTTGCCTTTTTTCCTCCCCTTTTTTGTCTCCCTTGGTTTCAGCACTCTGCAACTAGTATGCAATTTTGGTGAGAGAATGGTTCCACATCTCTGGGCCTTCCAGGTGTCATTAAAAACATTAATGCTTATTAGCCAGTGTAATAAGCATTAATGTTTATTAACCAAGGTAAGCCAAAGACTGACTTTGCTTATTTTCTTTCTGATGGACATGTTACTTTGAGCTTGCAACAAAAACAATTCTTGAGCCTAGCCAAAATCTTTGAGACCATAAAAGCTATGTGAAAGGTTCAAGACAAACGTTTAATGAAAATTAATTTCAGATTTTTACTAGGCTTCTGTGGGTGGCCTTGCCTGCATTTTGGTATCCCACTTCAGGAAAGTTGCTCAGTAAGGGAGCTTGCATTTGAAACGTCCCACTTTGGAATTCTTGCCTCGTGCTTGATTGAAACTCATTTTTGTCATACCACTTAGTGGGTGTAAAATATCAGCCTTCGATAGGGATAATTCATTCTTCTACCTTTTGCTTCACTACTTCTCACTCTCCTACAAAGAAATATACCTAAAACAGCCAAATCTTTTGGGTCTAACTCAGAAAGATTAAAACTTTACAAATTATGAGAGTCTTGTTGTTGGTGTTGAGAATACTTTATGGAGGATAGAAAGACAGGAATTTTTTTAGAAATGGGAAAAATAAGTAAAATCCACCCTCTAAGTGATGGAGGAGTGAAAGAGAGAGGTAGGAATGCATTTAAGTATTATTAATGCCTATTTTAAAAGAGAAGTAGGCTGGAAAATAGAGCTACAGATGTCAGTTCCTTAGAGTGAAACACCAATGCCTGAAAGAATTAGAAACACACCCATGAAAAGCAAAACTCTGACGTGGTAACTCTGTCTTCAAGCAGCTGGGGATGGAATCGAAATACTCCTGTGTTCCAGGTGGCTTTCTGCAGTGACTGTCCTCGGTGTTAGTGCTACTAAATGGATGTTTCTAAACGTGTCATGTGCAAGGTAGTGCTACGAGGAGCCTTCGGTACAGGCGGTTGTTGGTCACTGCTGCCTGAGTCGATGGTGTGAAGTGTGGTAATGAATGGATGCTGCTCTCCCAGGATGAGTAATTGGGCACAGCGCAGAGCTGGCAGTTGAATAGTGTTGATCACAGTGATGACTTTAATAGCATTTAATAGACACTTATCTGAATTCAAAGTCAGATGAGATACTGCTCTTTTTAAAAGCATTTCCAGTGCTATTAGCTTTCTGTCATGACGAGCCACTAAAATTTCCAGGGTGTGTGCATGTTTGTTCTGCTCTTTCTTTTTTTTCTTTTGGGGGGAGGGTATGGAGTTCTGGCTGTTTGGAAAATTTCTGGCTTTTGCTTTCTGAATTCTGTTAAGTGAATAAGTTGTCTGCATTAGAAAACCCTTTTTCAGCTGATAGTTTCAGGGAAAACAGCTTTTTGGGGAGTTGAAACGTTGCTTCCAGGGCTCCTTTAAAAGCAAACAAAGGTGCTTCCAAAAGAGGTGCCTGCAAAAGCAGTATTTCTACATGGTGCTGCCCAAAAGGCATTCGCTTTTGAGGAACCAGCAAACACTGCCAATATGTAAAGCAGTCAGTAGAGCTGCTTAGGATTCTTTAAATCCAGACTGCAACTCTGCTGGGTGTAGCTGAGATTTTGTTGGTGAGGCGATTGATTCTTGTGGATGCAGATGCTTGCTGCATAGCACAAGACATGATGTGTGTCTC